AAAACATGCCACCTGCCCTAGATAGAACCCCATTTTGATCCCAGTTTGTGCGTGCCCAATTAATTCTATCTCTCCCTCATACGCACAGCTGATTCACCGATAAGAACTCTACGATCGTACAAGTGACGATTTTCATGCTTTTTCGTCCTGCAATCTCGTTTTTCACTGAAAGCCGGGCATTGGAGGCGGAGTCTGGAAAAAAGGAGGAACCACTGAACCTATATTGCGCTATAGCGCCCCTCCCTTAGAATTTTTTGCCGCGAAACCGGTACAAGGTTGTTCGTCGCGGACCACTCTAACCTCCTGACGCCATATTTTCAACTTCGATACCTGATCGCGACCGTGCCTTTAACCCGCAGAATCCCGGACTTATTCAGGAACCATCAATGGGCAGGAATTAGCGAGCGCAGAATTGCTGCTACTGGACGTCTCCGTGACAGATCGAGCCGAATATCAGTGCGTTGTTCGAAATCGATTTGCAGCCGAGCATAGTATTCGATCAGTGTTGAAGGTGACCGATTTTCTGATTTACTTCATTAGCGGTGAGGGGGGGGGTCCTCTTCTAGTGGCTCTTCGCTAGTATCGCTGATCGCTAACGCGGCCGCATGCACGTATTTCGGGCAGTAGTAAATGCGAACTCGAATTTCTAGATGGCTTCGTTCTTACGATTCGCTTCATAAAAAATGTGCAGTCAAAAAGTTGACATGTTTTTTTTTTCGAATACTGCCACGCATCCACCCTTCTATCAGCTTTTACCGCGGTAAATGTGAGACGAGCGTGTGTTTCAGCTAGCGATTAATAAATGTCCTGCTCATCATATTACCGTCACTTACTGTCTGCGTAATCAAGAGTGCTTTTTCAGATATTCCAAGTGCCGGTATTTTTGAATGAACCGGACGACATGTCACTTCTCGTCGGGCAAAATGCAAAGATTATGTGTACTGCTACAGGTGAGCTTATCAGCAATGTATATGGAGATAGAATACGTTTTTTCTGTAAACCCCTGGAGTTTTACTTCAACTTCTCTCGTAATAAGAGGGTTGTTGCTGGAAAGGGTCTTACAGGAAGTACATTTTTACTGAAAAGCGCTGCAATTTTGGCCTTACTCTCGGCCTTCGGGCGCACTTATGAGTGTACCCGAAGGCCGAGAAGACGGCCCAGAAGGTCCGAAGACCTTCTGATGATGATGATGGTTTTTCCGCCCGAATATAAAATACGAGTGGAAAAATAAGCGGCACGCGGGTAGAGAAAATACCCAATGAAAGGCTCCCAACCCCCCCACCCCCCGTTCTGTCCTAAGAGTTTTCAAGCGCTTGGACAAGTTCACCAGTCTGCTACAGATCGATAGCCAATTGTCCGATTGCATGGGCCAACAATTTCTACTCCCAGTTATTCAGGAATCCCTGCTCCAGTGATCAAGTGGTCCAAAGACGGTGGTGCCACCTTCCCGGCGGCCCTTCAACATCGGTTATTCGTACGCCCAAACGATGATCATCTCTACGTGGTGAATGTCACTGTTGAGGATCAGGCAAGTTGGTTTACCTGTGTTTAACTATTTACGCACTCACTGCAGATACGCATCACACCGTTTATGCAGCGAGGTAGCGACTAAAAGAGCGCTCTTCGACTTGGAGGGGACATTATGCACTCTCGAAAGTTTTTTATTTGTTTGCTAGTTCACGTTGAATAACAGGTTTCACCTTGGTAAGAATTGCAAACCTTCTGAAGCTGCGGACTGGTGCAAGTGAGCCACGTTAGTCACAGTAGCACAGGTCTTTACAAGGTGGCCCATGCAACCCCGGCTGAGTACCATTGGGTGCTCCCACCGAGCCGAAGCCTCCCGACCAGAAGCAACCCACCTGTGGCACTTTACCAAGACCTCACGATAAGGGATCTTTTTCGCTCTAAAAAGTTGATGCATTTCTAGAGGTGCAAAGTTGATCTAGCTCGGAGGGAGGACGAAACCGCCTCTCATTGAACGCGGAAATTTTTCTTTTATTGCAGCCTATCAATATTGGAACCCTTCTCTGCACCTTCTGTGGAAAATTTTGAGGACCAAATTGAACAAATGCTTGCCATCCAGGAGCTCCTAACACTTGCCATGCAGTACGAACCAGCTGGTGGTTGCGATACGCCAGCGCGTACACTGCGGCATATTTGGTTGGTTTACACTACTTCAGCCATAAAAATTGAATTTGAAATATTCATATTTCAGAGAATTCTTTCAATGTCACATTGAAAGATACGGTAATATGTGTCAATGATACGCTTCTTTTGGATTGCTACGCGGATCTGGCTCATCCATCCGCAAAGAATGGTTAGCTCATTTCCCTCTTTGAATCATAGAAGCTCAATCTTGTCCGCTGCGGATGATGGGGCGTGTCAATGGGAACGGGTTTGGCATAGCGCCAGCCCGTTCTCTATCAGCTGTTAAAGCAGGTAGGCGGAAACAGTTGTATGAAAAACTGGTACGAACGATATGATACAGTCCTGTCGCTCGCCGGAAAAAAACGGACTGGGCTTGCTGAGCGAACATTCCATGCCGGAGAGCGCGCACCCTGCGGAGGACGAAGAACCTGTGTGTCACGCTAATATCTGTGGTATGTAACCACGTGATTAGACGGAGGACAAATTCGTATCTAGAACAACACCTTATAATGGGAAGAACGTCGCAAAAAGGACTGAAGAGTGGCACGAACGCATAGTGATGAGCGTGGATTAGTCGTGAGGAGTTCTAGGTAGGCGGGAGCGTCGCCCGCGCGCGAGTCTGTCAGCGGCCTGATCGACTTTCAAAAGCCAAGAAGTTTAAAAACTGACTGAAGGAAAAGAAAAAGTGGTCCGCTTTCTGGTAAGCCGTTGTGTTGAGTTTCTTTTTATAGCAATCGTACACATGATGAGAACATTGTGAAGTATGGAGTTTTGTCGGTGTAAAGTAGTGATTGTTTTCGTTTGAAAGGAGTTTCAATTCCAGGAGTGGACATTCAACGGGGAACCGCTATTTGTCGATGGAGAACGAGTTTCATTGAAAGCACATGGCCAAATTCTTGCTGTCAAGAAGGTATGTTTCTTGGCTTACATGGCTAAGCCTATCCAAATAATGTAAGAAAGGTATGGATGTGGGGTCTTATTCACATTGTGGTGAGAACGCTTTACAGGCAACGTCGTACCGCGGGCTGCCTTACCGCCAGGTTTTAGAGTCCCCTTCGCTGCGGATGCTGCGGCGTTTCAGAAACGGTGGATTTGGCGCCGCATCACCCAGTTTCTCAACCAGTTATCGGTGAATATTGGTGGAGCAGGGGCAGGCACCGCGCCAAACCCATCCCCATTTCCCTGATACGCACCGGCATCCGCAGCAAACAAGACTATACCACAGACCTCGGTCGACGTTCCACGTTGCGGCGACGCTGCGAAAGCGGCTTTAGAGAACGACGTCATGTTTGTGCTATTCGCACCAGGACCTAATTGATTCAACATGGAAGTGCTGTAATGTTGTAATTCTGAGTCAACCAGCCAGGAAATCTCCTTAGTTTGTGCGCGCCGCAACTGGATGTAACGTTCCGCACCCCGTAAGACTAAGGAGATGCATGAATGATCACATGATAGTAGAAACAGCATGATACTTCAGAACCTAAGTGGAGAAAAAATGTCATCTCACACCCCATACCAAAGCGTAGCCGGTTCATGACAAGATTTCAGATTCAAATCAAGCGATGCTGGACAGTACGCATGCGAACTGTGGGCTGCTAATGATCAGTTAGCCCGACAAGTGGCCACAGTTGTGGTGGTTGGCCGAGAGGAGATCAAGAAAGACCCTAATTCTCAACAAAACTTCTAATCCGACCATCAGCAGGGT